TCAATTGCGCTTAGAGTGCTTCCTCCGGTACCGTCCCCCAGTGTTGCCGGATGGCGTGCCGAAATTATGAAGGAATTCCAGACCTTCGTATGGGCGTCTGGATATTCTATTTTTTAATTTTATTTGTTTTTGTGCTGAGGCCATGAGATGAATTAAGAAAGAAGCGGTGGTTAGCTGTTATTGATCAATGCGGTGGGATATGCAGATATCTTGTCCGGACTTCCCTGAATTAACAAGATGGATTCCAAGCTTCTTGAGGGCATTCTCTCCTCTGACCTATTCGAGATGGTTCGAGGAACTCTAGATAGGCCCAACGTTACACGTCCTTAACCAGATGTCCCAAAGACCACGATTCCCCCTTACAGGCCGAATTGGCGCAGTAAGTCAAGAAATGAGTTTCTTTCGAAAAGAAAAAGGTGACCTGAATGCAGTCTGTTAGTTAGGCATAGATCTAACGTTAGTGAGTCTCGTAGAGAGGCGGAGTTGGCGAGGTTGAAGAAAGGGATAGCGATTGAAAATAAATTTTCGTATTATTCAATTTTTTTGTCATCACCACGGTGCGAAATCCAAGGAATTCTGCCACAACGGTATAGTAGGACACCGTAGGACAACTGTAGGACAACTGTAGGACAACTGTAGGACACCGCCTGAAATCATACCGCAGTCACAGCGCCATACCGAAATTCATACCTCTAAAGAAACATTAATTTGCCAAATGTCTACTACCCAACGACCAATTGCGGTAACGCCCACCGTCTGGGGACAACCGAAGCCCTCTTTTCTGGATTAGGTCTGGATTCTTAATCCTAAGTCTAATCTTAAGTCTTAATCCAGACTCATGAAGAGAGATCCGGAATTGGTAAGTTCGACCTTGTCCCTGACCGTATGCGTTGATGTGTCGGAGCGCTCAGCATTTTCATCTTGTCTTGCGAGGATGCAATAAGCGGAATGAGAATACTTTTCTTGGCTATTTTCGTCGGAGGTCCAGTTACAGAAGCAGCTGAATTTCAGTTTGAAATTCGGATGTGTTCCAGCTGTAGGGAACGGCTGTGCAGCTGTAGCTGTATTTCCAACTGTATAAAAATAATTTTCTGGAATTTTATAGCTGGAAACAGCTATTAAAACCAGTTGCATTCCAGATGGGAAATTCCAGCTGTAAACCACCCGGCGTCTACTATTTTCCCCCTTTTTATGCCAACTGGAAACTATAATGATAGTTCATAATGTCGTTCTTATACCTCGTCGCTCGCGACGTCCAGTTAAAGGGTTGTGGCGTTAGTTCAGATCCGATTCGCAAAGAATATTGCTTGTGGAATTTAAATGGGTATAAGGCACACTTTATTTCCAATGTTCGCTCTTTTGGCCGCAACAAGGCCGCTCTATAGTCCCGTCCGGCGTTTCATTCTAAGTGAAGAAGGGGTTCCAAATGTTTCATGGACAAAACAGAAGTCGTTTTCGCTATTTGAGCATAGGGGGTTAGAGCATTGGCCCGGCATTGGCCCAGCATTGGCCCGGCCCGGACCGCGATCCTTCTTCGGGTCGAGTAGGGTCGAGCCGAATTTAAGTTCGAGGAGAATTCGAGTTTCGGGTCGGTGCGGTCTATGACTTGATTCGGGCTTATCGGGTCTGGTACCAGAAAAAAGGGCAGTGCTGGACTCAACCAGAGGGTAGCAACTTGGTGAAAAATCGCGAAAGTGTCCCTTTGCTTGATTCCGTGTCGATGACCATCGATCGCATCGATTTTGCGTCAGTTTTAGCGCAAAAGGACTAAAGGGCGCTAATATCGATTTATGTATTTAAAAAATGCTTGGGAAAATAGATATTATTGATAAACTTCATGCATGGACTATTTTGGCCTGTGGGCCAGATGTTACTAGCGAGGCGTTTACATGAGGTTACAGAGGTGGGATTCATATTGGTTTTTAAGGAGCGGTCGATATCAGGTGGCATCCATATGATCAGGCCTTTTTAAATTTTAAAAGAATTTATATAATAATAGATAGGAAGCAATGATAACAGTATCTCCAATCGAAGCACTGATGACTGGTTTAAGGAAAAGGGGAGTGAATTTGAGGGTGCGTTGCAGTGGCAGATTGTCGAAAGGTGTAAACATAGAACAGACGTCAAAATAAAGACTTTAGTTTATTGCACCAGCCAGTGAAACTCTTCTGCCAGAGGGAACCGCCACTTTTGAGTTCACAATCACCAGATGCTCTACAGTAAAATTTAACAGCCTTTCTGCTTTTCGGTGGCCTCTGTGAGACGTCCACGCAATCGGCCCTTTGCAAATTGCAATTTCCAGAGTTAAAGGAGACACACAAATATTGGGCGAAACTCTATACATGGTAATAACATTGAAATGTGCACGGTGATTTACTCTAGGGTATGCGAAAATGACACAAATACCGGGGGAAAAAACGCAGGGAATGGTGACCAAGGAAACTTTCAAGTAGGAAATTCATCCTCGAAGTCTGAAAAGACTCAGAACAAGGGAATGGGCAGAAAGTGTATTTAACACTTTAAGATGAGCTCTAACTCGAGTTTTCCTCTATGCTCCTTTCCCTGCCTTTTTTTTACTCTTGAAGGACAAAAAAGTTAAAGATCAGAATAACTTTTTCCGTTTTCTCTTATCTCGTGGAGGAGAAATTGGGCAGTGAACCGGTTATGAACCGGTTATAACCGGTTACTCTTGCCGTGCCATCCTCTACTTCAATGGACATTTTAATAGTATGTTGAAAATTTTACTGGAAGGGTAATGGTTTAGGGAGGAAAGGTTTATGGAAAGCCCATAAGAAGCAGTTTTTTTAAACATTCCCAGCGGGCTGTCCAATCACCCAATACGTTTTTACATCCAATTACTTTCCAGCATATTTATTTCTATCCCGAAGTCCCAAAAATAAGTTGGACTTCTCGTCGAATCGGGGCGCAATCTCGCACTATTCTTTCCCCTTTCTTTGGAAGAAGGGTTTGCGAAGCCTCCGTTCTTGAGATTCGACTAGAAGGAAGGGCGAATCCTTCAGAACCTTTCTTGATGAAAGCAAATCACAAAGAATGACACATGGTGCACCCTGCAAGATACGGATGATGCTTACATGAAGTGATTCAACAATGGTTAGCCATAAATATAATCCTGAAATAATTTCAGAAGCGAATTCAAATTCCGCGACGCAAGCGCGTTCACAGCATTCATGCATTTTTCTCTCCCGTGTGGTCAATGCTCACTGGATCTGAACTGCAGGAAGATGATGGTGAACATTATGACATGGCGAATTATCTGCCGAGAAAGAGAAAATATATTAATGAACTCAATAAATGTTCATCGCTGACTTACCATTTTATGTTGGCGAAAATGTGTACTCACATCATAGTAAACAGGGTATCCAAGGCGAACAAAGCCGGATCCAGTGAGTATGGCTCCATCCGACTGAAGAATCTTCTTCATGGAAAATGCCTCCTGTATAGAAAAAAAGTAATTTACTGCGAAAATGCTCATAATTAGCTCTTGATAAGTGATTAAGCTGTAGAAAAAGGATATACCGCTTCGATTTCGCGCTCTGGGCAAGCAAAGCCCTCGATTTTCGAGAGCATTCTCCAGTAGTAATTTACTGCGAAAATGCTCATAATTAGCTTTTGATAAGTGATTAAGCTGTAGAAAAAGGATATACCGCTTCGACTTCGCGCTCTGGGCAAGCAAAGCCCTCGATTTTCGAGAGCATTCTCCAGTTTATTTCCCGACGAAACTTCTCATCCTTCAAGAGAGAAAGTAGAAAAAGCAAAATTTTCTTGTGATTACCTAATTTCATTTATACTGAAAATGTTTTTCATAGCGATTGGGCCTCACTTCCTTCCTGATCTGATGAGCAGCCAGAAGAAAAACCGCTGTAGAATTCCAGCTGGCGAGAGTGGCGATGAAGAAAAGGGAAAGAGAGAGTGCGATCTCCAGGCCGCTTTGTTTGAAATCCATTTCGATGAGGACCATGAAAAGACTGGCGGTGGTCGAAATGATGGTAGCGACGAGAGCAAAAAGGGCTTGAATTCCTAGTGCGGAACTGAGGAGTCGGACGAACTCCTTCAGCCTCTTGTCCCATAGGTTCACGTCGACATCCTTTTGGGTGACTCGAGGGTCGGAGATGGCAGCCGTCAACGAGCGATATGCCTCGGCGACCACAGAGCAGAAGTAGAGACAGAGAAAAGGCGGAAAGACGATAGAATGAATCTGATACACCCCGGCTATAACGCTGATCGTCACGAAGAAGCTACTGTACCCAGCCAGCATGAAAAGGACGTTAATTGTAACAGTAGAAAAAACCGAGGCGAACCACGGAAGGAAATAAGCCAAGAAAATCTTCTTTGAGTTCAAATCCAACCCTGTGTCGACCAGAATCTGGCGGCTTTCCACGAAGACGACCTGGATGCTTTCCCCCTTCAGAAAGTTGACAATTATTGTACCGTATGCGAGTGCAGAGAAACTCCCCATTACGATGAAGAGAACAATCAAGGCCGTTTTGGATCTATGCACCATGAGAGTAGTCATCATTTCTTGGGGATGATTTGAGTCACTATAATTGCCGAGTCCCTTCTCCGGAACTCTATTGATTTGCACCGCTGGTTCTCCTGCAACAAGTTATATTTCAGTTAGATTGGGTTAGTCGGGGGTTTAAGATGGAAATTGGAATTTGCAACTGACAAGTTTATTCCGAAAAGTATGACTGTAGCGACTGTAAAGAAGAGGGGAGTGTTAAATAGCTGATCATTGCGACCCCACTTCCTGAAATGACGAATTTGGATTTTCAATCCTCAACATCAAGTGGAATGTATCGTATTCCCTGTTCATTTCTTTGATCCGTAAAAGTGTCATGAATGATGATTTAAGTCTAGAATTCAGGATGAAACATTGATAGCTATGGGGTTTCGGGTTGGAAGGGAGGTGCGTGAATAATGTCTCTGTACTTCGAGGTTGTCTCCCTTGAATATTTTCATGTTAACCTCTGCAAAGGTTTTCAGGCGGGTACGCCTACACTCGACCAGACATTAATTTTTCTCAGCTTCTAAAAAGAAAGATTTAAAAAACAGAAGACATTATTTAAAGCTTTTTCACTTCTTTCAAAACTCCTAAATTCGCAGGAAATAGCTTCCTCTCACGTCTACGTCTGGCTTTTTGGGCCTGTTTTCAAAACTTTGATAAAGCAGAGGGAGGAAGACTTACCCACTGTAACAACCCAGTAGAAGCCGAGAATGCCACCCAAGAAGAGCCTGAAGAAAAACATGAAGGTCGGAAATGCGAACCAACGAAACTTGGGATGGCCATGCAACATTTCGGTTAGGGGGAAGTCCCCGGTGATGGATGAAGTGATGCACATCCATTTCAGGTAGCTCGGAGGTTCCCCTCTTGCTTCTTTCTTTTCTTCAACCTTCATAGCTCGAAGTCCGTCCTTCGATGGCAGACCCATGATATGTGTCTCATAGGTTCGCCGGCAACGTCGACATCAGCTCATTAAGTCGGGTTTCGCGCAAACAAATGGGCGGTGTCGATCAAGAATCGATACGTGTAGGCTGACCTTGGCTGCATCCACTAAGGAAATTACGTGTAAAACCACCTGAGTTCGATATCTTGAAAAGAGAAACGAAAGAATAATAAATGGTTCTCCCATTAGGGCGTTGCAGTATATCGGCATTTTCATTATATCGCTGTTTCCGGAGCTAGTGATAATTATACCCCTAATACATCAATAGAAGCGGTAGCGCCTATAACCTCTCCTCGACCCCTTCCCGCTGCAAGTTTCAACCCCCTCATATTCCTCTCTAAGAGCATCAACAGAAAAGAAATTTGACATTCTTCTTCCTCTCTCGCCACAGAATCGCTCCAGCAAATTTGAAGCTCCATCTCCCTGGTGTTGTGGAGAACGCGGAATCTCGTTTTTTTGAGGATGTGAATTTCATTCCGTTATTTCCCCCCCCCCCCGGGTTGCCACTCCTGACAGTCTTTCGGAGGAAAGAGACCAACGATAAGAAAGATATTGATTACAAAAAGTGGCTTTTTTGCTATTTGCGACGATCCATTTCGCCATTAAAAAAATGAAATTAGCTGTCGTTCAATTGCGCTTAGAGTGCTTCCTCCGGTACCGTCCCCCAGTGTTGCCGGATGGCGTGCCGAAATTATGAAGGAATTCCAGACCTTCGTATGGGCGTCTGGATATTCTATTTTTTAATTTTATTTGTTTTTGTGCTGAGGCCATGAGATGAATTAAGAAAGAAGCGGTGGTTAGCTGTTATTGATCAATGCGGTGGGATATGCAGATATCTTGTCCGGACTTCCCTGAATTAACAAGATGGATTCCAAGCTTCTTGAGGGCATTCTCTCCTCTGACCTATTCGAGATGGTTCGAGGAACTCTAGATAGGCCCAACGTTACACGTCCTTAACCAGATGTCCCAAAGACCACGATTCACCCTTACAGGCCGAATTGGCGCAGTAAGTCAAGAAATGAGTTTCTTTCGAAAAGAAAAAGGTGACCTGAATGCAGTCTGTTTGTTAGGCATAGATCTAACGTTAGTGAGTCTCGTAGAGAGGCGGAGTTGGCGAGGTTGAAGAAAGGGATAGCGATTGAAAATAGATTTTCATATTATTCAATTTTTTGTTATCACCACGGTGCGAAATCCAAGGAATTCTTCCACAGCGGTATAGTAGGACACCGTAGGACAACTGTAGGACAACTGCAGGACACCGCCTGAAATCATACCGCAGTCACAGCGCCATACCGAAATTCATACCTCTAAAGAAACATTAATTTGCCAACTGTCTACTACCGAACGACCAATTGCGGTAACGCCCACCGTCTGGGGACAACCGAAGCCCTCTTTTCTGGATTAAGTCTGGATTCATAATCCTAAGTCTAATCTTAAGTCTTCATCCAGACTCATGAAGAGAGATCCGGAATTGGTAAGTTCGACCTTGTCCCTGACCGTATGCGTTGATGTGTCGGAGCGCTCAGCATTTTCATCTTGTCTTGCGAGGAAAGCAATAATCGGAATGAGAATCTCTTTCTTGGCTATTTTCGTCGGAGGTCCAGTTACAGAAGTAGCTGAATTTCAGTTTGAAATTCGGATGTGTTCCAGCTGTAGGGAACGGCTGTGCAGCTGTAGCTGTATTTCCAACTGTATAAAAATAATTTTCTGGAATTTTATAGCTGGAAACAGCCATTTAAACCAGTTGCATTCCAGATGGGAAATTCCAGCTGTAAACCACCCGGCGTCTATTTTCCCCCTTTTTATGCCAACTGGAAACTATAATGATAGCTCATAATGTCGTTCTTATACCCCCTCGCGACGTCCAGTTAAAGGGTTGTGGCGTTAGTTCAGATCCGATTCGCAAAGAATATTGCTTGTGGAATTTAAATGGGTTTAAGGCACACTTTATTTCCAATGTTCCCTCTTTTGGCAGCAAAAAGGCCGCTCTATAGTCCCGTCCGGCGTTTCATTCTAAGTGAAGAAGGGGTTCCAAATGTTTCATGGACAAAACAGAAGTCGTTTTCGCTATTTGAGCATCGGGGGTTAGAGCATTGGCCCGGCATTGGCCCAGCATTGGCCCGGCCCGACCGCGATCCTTCTTCGGGTCGAGTAGGGTCGAGTCGAATTTAAGTCCGAGTAGAATTCGAGTTTCGGGTCGGTGCGGTCTATGACTTGATTCGGGCCGATCGGGTCTGATACCAGAAAAAAGGGCAGTGCTGGACTCAACCAGAGGGTAGCAACTTGGTGAAAAATCGCGAAAGTGTCCCTTTGCTTGATTCCGTGTCGATGACCATCGATCGCATCGATTTTGCGTCAGTTTTAG